TCAGAAGATCTTCAAAAGAATTTGACAACATTTCTAGACACAAAATCAGTATATCAATACCAATCAGAACCCCAATTAGTGGAGCACCTGGGTGACTTGGTGGTTGAGCATCTGTCTTTGGCTCAGGGTGTGATCCCCGGGGTCCTGGAATCCAGTCCTGCATTAGGCTCCCCGCGGGGAGCCTGCTCCTCCCTCTGCCTGTGTCTCTGCTTCTCTCTCTGTGTGTCTCTCATGGATAAATAGATAAAATCTTTAAAAAAAATCTTAAAAGAATCCCAGTTAGTTACATTGTGGAATGAGACAAAGGGTTTCTGAAATTTACATGGTAACATAGAAGGGCCATTAATATTAAGCATGATACACATGAGGAAGATGAACAAATTGGGGAAATATTCTCCACCACAAACCAAGACATATTGTAAGGCAGTGTGATACTGGCCCAGAGACAGACCAGGATGCTGAATAGACAGCCTCCAAATACACCAGACTTCTCTGGGTACTTGGGAATGGCCAAGGTGTCATTAAAGCTCAGGAGAGAAAGCATCAACTCATTGGCAAATGGTGCTAGGAAATATTTATCAATGAATAAATTGTCACTCTCATTTGTCAGTCTCTTTTCCAGAATCCACCACTGTGTTGCCAGCCTTACTCTTCAGAGTTGCTTATCTTCCAGGCTCTTTCTCTTGTTGCTTTACATTCCTTCCCCTTGACTTACCTTGGTGCACCTTGCAGAATGAGCCAAGGCAAAGGATTGTGTTTACTTCACGATGTTTAAGTGGAAGTGAATTAATCATGTATCTCCTCTTTCTAGAAAATCTGGAGTATGTCAAGAACTTCTGGGGTTTTTGTTTCGAATTTTTATAATGAGGACGAGTCAGTGTACAACCCCACTGTCACACTAGCAAATGCTAATGTTTCAGAGTGTGTTGAAAGTCTTGTGATTCCTTTGATCTATTTTTTTCATATGAGAGTCAGGGCATAATGTTAACTCCTTTGAGAAAATACGGCCAGGAACTGGGTGTATAGAAGAAGTGCCTCCCTGTGTATACAGGTCGTGTCTCCCGGAGAGCATGTAAAGTCCACGTTCAGTATTTGAACCCACAGCTCTGTGGGAGAATCAGTGGCCTAGTCTCATCACATCCAATCTTGAAAGTACTTCCTGTGCAAAGTAATCCTTATTGTTTTTATAGAGTTTTTCTCAAGAAATGTATTATCTCCAGGGCCAATGCTCCCCTGATGACACTTTCACCTATGATCGTTCAATGGAGTGGCTTCTCATTTTGAGGTGGTGGGTGGCGACACAATCCGCAGCCTTGAAGGATGGTTGTTGGGAGCACATCCTGGGCCTCGGAGCCCCGTTGCCATGGTGATTCTGCGGCTGTGCCAAGGCTGTTTCTCACTGTGGGTGGAAAGAAGTTCCCCTGCCAGCAGCTACGTGGGATACTGGCAGCTGGAGAGAAGGCTGACATGATGCGCTGCTTCCCCAGCTGGGAGTTCTGAGTCTCCTTGTAAATCTAATAGGCAACTCAGGCCCTGGGGAAGAGTGGGGGTAATGGGATCTAGCCCATCACAAGTGCAAAATGTGCACAATAAGATTCTGAGAGTTCCTTATTTTGAGTCAAAGCTTTGCAGAGGATGAAGCCTCACACTGAAGGAGTCTAGCCTGACTTGGCAGTGAGGGAGGTTTAGAGGGATTTGTATTCGTCAGTGGGGTTAATTTAATTCTGAGGGATTTAAATGGCAGCATTTAAATAGGAGGTAAGAGAAATATCGCCACTTAATTTGGAGATCTTAAACTCATTCAGAAATGCCTGTTAATTTAGGATTGTCAAGTTGGGTTTATGCAGTATTGAAATTTATCTCATGTTTTTCTAAATTTAAATGGCACTACAATGATTAATCCTGTAGACTGTGCCGCTGATAACCATCCCCACCCCCGGGGTATATGGAGTCTTAAGCAACTAGGCTTGCTTGCATGGAGGCCCTGGTAATGGTCCATCTAAATCATCCTCAAGAAAATGTGAAATAGGTAGAAACTAAACTCTGAATGAAAGATCAGATTAACAGAATTGGGCAAAAGTCAGTGGCATTTGGTGATCATCTATAGTCTTACCACTTCATTTGCTCCTGGACTTCATTCTGATATTATTCTTGCTTTGTTATAAGCTTTAATAAGACCCAGAAAAAGTTAATTTTTATCTATAAATTTAATGCTTAGGCTTTTTTTTTTATATTTAAACTTCAATTGTGAAGAGTTTTGTGGACTACATTAATCTGATTTAGACACCTCAGAGTGTTTGCAGAAGAAATCCCACATACCTATATCGAATTCTTCGAGAATAGGAAGGGAGAGAAATCACAGAGGAATTGGATATGAAATCCTGGGGCTGTTTGGGGCACTTGCCAAAATAAGGGTAACTCCCTTTTGGATTGGTACTAATTTTGTTTCTTATTCTTCTTTATTTTTAAATAATAAGGTGAAATTTTTACAACATGGTGAGACAAATAGTACAAAGATTTTTTTGCTCTCCTGTTAATCTCCACTCAAAACTGTGTTCATTGACATTCAGAGACTACACACTCTGGTCTCATCCATCTGCTAGTGAAATCTCTTCCTATCACATGAAGTGTCATGCTGTTCTAACCTTTTCTACTTCCCCATAATGTGTGTGTATTTGTGTGTGTGTGTGTGTGTGTGTGTTGTGTATGTGTGGTGGGGGAAGAAATGATTTCCTGTACTAACAATTGCTATGGAAGCAAGGAGGTGTTCACATTCCTTTTTTGCCTCTGGGGCAGATGAGGTGAGCTGTAATCTTCTCAAGAAGGCCAGTTCCTATGGTCAGTATTAAAGTTAGAAGCCTAAAATAAATAAATAAATAAAATAAAGTTAGCAGCCTAGACCACTCTCTAAACATAAAACTACTTCACATAGGAACTTCATAATTATCACATGTACCATATGTTATAAACATATGTGCATTCTAGATAAAATGCACACAGAACTTTCTAAATTTAGAAAAACATGAGATAAATTTCAATGCTGCATAGACCCAAATTGACAATCCTGTACTTAAGTACAATAAATAACAATCCATATTCCAATCTCATTTATTTGTTTCTGCAGAAAGGAAGAACAAGTTATGTAGAGAGTATTTGAGAGGCTTTGGTATTACAAAAGGAGATTGGGTCAAGAATTTCCAAAAGGAGAAAAGTAGGAGGAAATCTCTGCAATAGAATATAGAATATATATTGGGGGGGGGGACACACAGGTGGAGGGAGGCAAACTGAGTCATCTTAGGAGTTGCTCTGAGCCTGGCAGCCCCCGTACTTAGGCTTCGTCTCTCACCAGCCGCTGGTGCACAGTACCTCCTCAATATGTCTTACTGCAAAACATATACACTTAAGCATCTCTGGTTAAGCTCTTAGAAGATATCTAGCAAATTCTGAGACTTATTTTTAATATTAACAGCCATGGTTTTCTGATGTCTTAGACTAGAAAGCTATCTCTCAAAAGGGTAGTGTGACAAAGCTTTAAAAAGCAAAAGTGATTCCTGTAGTCAAAGTAATTTTGAAAACCATATCACAAGCAATCATAGTTCATCTTAATATGGTTAAAGATATGTCTAGTAATGGTAGACCTGGCATTTATTGAGTGGTTACTCCATGGCATGCACTATTTCATGTGTTAACTCACAATTTAATTTAAATTCCAGTGTGGTTAACATACGGTGACATATTAGTTTTGGGGTGTACAATATAGTGATTAAACAATTCTGTACATTACTCGGTGCTCATCATGACAAGTGCACTGTTTCATCCCCATCACTACTTCACCCGTACCGAGTCCCCTCCCCTCTGGGAACCATCTGTTCTCTAGTGTAAAGAGTCTGGTTTTTGGTTTGTCTTTTTTTTTTCCCTTTGTTCATTTGTTATGTTTCTTAAATTCCACATATGAGTGAATTCGTATGCTATTTGTCTTTCTCTAACCAGCTTATTTCACTTAGCATAATACTCTCTAGCTCCATCCATGTTGCAAATGGCAAGATTTCATTCTTTTTATGGCTGAGTGACATTCTATTGTGTACATATACCACATCTTCTCTATCCATTTATGTATCGATGGGCACTTGGGCTGCTTCCATAATTTGGCTACTGTAGATAATGCTTCCATAAGCATGGGGGTACAGATATCTTTTCAAAGTAGTGTTTTCATATTCTTTGGGTAAATATCCAGTAGTACTATTACCTACTTAATTCTCCCAAGAATAATTTGAGGGGAATTCTTACTGTCACCCTTTTACAAATGATGGAATTAAAAGAATAAACTTGCCAAAAACCACACAGAGGTAGAGTGAGGATTTGCCTTCCTGGCCTCTCATTTTTCAGTATCTTTCACATCTTTTTTAATCACGCACCACAGCAAAAAGTAGATTCACATTTGAGTCACTACAAAGCATAAATTAATATCTGAACTCAAAAGCCTTTACTGTAATTTGCTTTACTACATGCAGCACACTTGGATATTGCCTATTCTATTCTCTTTCACTTCTGAAAACTGTTGAACAACGTTCACTAAATTGGGTTCACAATGAACAGATTTTGACCATTTTAAAAATACAGCTAAAGGGATTAAAGTAAAAACTTAAGCAGATGAAATTTGACAGCAATAAGGTCAATATAGAATGATATGCATGAACATAGTGAAGATTATTATGAGAAGTCTTGGATGGGAAGGAAGGGCTTCTTTTGGTTTGGGGGTAGAAGAAGAGGAAGCCTTCACTGGAATTAAATATTCTTTTATTTGTGGAGGGTGGGTTTCTAATCAAGAAACTTCATTTTCATACCCTCCAAGGCAGACCGGATGTGCGTGTTGACCTGATGTCATCTATAAATGCAAAGATACATTCCCGTATGCTGCCATTTTCCTAAGAGTTAGATGAAGAAAAAAAATATTGATTTCTAATGATTTCTAACTTTTTTTTTCTGTTGGTCTTCTGCAGGGTGTTTTGAGTGCTGTATTAAATGCCTGGGAGGCATTCCCTATGCTTCTCTGATTGCTACCATCCTGCTCTACGCTGGGGTTGCCCTTTTCTGTGGCTGCGGTCATGAAGCACTCTCTGGAACTGTCAACATTCTGCAAACCTACTTTGAGATGGCAAGAACTGCTGGAGATACACTTGACGTCTTTACCATGTAAGTCACTCTAGTATTGCTTCTTACTCTGAGAGTGTATGTTCACATTGCTGGGTGTTGAAAAAATAGGGGTCTAGAAGTAAGTGAAGCAGTGTTATAGATGAAGAAATAAATACCCTTAGGTTTTATACATGAGTCAAAAGAACATTGACCTTTACCATGAATACGGGACATATAGCAGAGGATCAGAAGCCAACTGAATCTGGACCTAATTTGCATTTTAATTTGACTGTCAAGTTTTATCAAAAATTCAGTTACCGTTAAATGGAATGCTTGCATATCCTTTGCTCTTCTAATTTGAGCAGAGGCTGTTCTAGTAGAACAGAGCAGGGAATAGAGAACAGGGCCAGGTATAAAAGTAGACTGTGCTGCTAGTTCTTGGAAAATCACCAAAACTCAATGGGTGTTTTCACCTTTTAAAAAATTTTAATCCAAATTGGGTATGATATCATCTTTCTTTCCCTGCCTCACAGAAGTGGTGTGGACTTCCTAAAAGTCTTTGTGGATGACTCTTCTGACTTCTGTTAATGAGAAATTTTAAGTAATATTGAGCAGCTTTTTGTAAACATGATTTATGTTTAAAATGTAATTTACTCATAAGGTTCAAACTCCTGAAATTTCTAAACTTTAATATTTTTTGAAAAGTAACTCAAACATAGTCTGGAAGTAAAAGAGTTTTCTGTTCAAATTTCAGTCCCTTATTGCTTACTGTCACAGTGAACAGATGTTTAGAATTGCATTTAGCTTCAAATAAATTCCCAATTCAGATTATTAATTTGATGATGCAATCCCCACAAAAAGAAAATAACTTATTTTTGCATTGTATTTGATAATCCCACCTGATAGTAGACTTTCTATCACATTAGCCACCATAGCATTTATTACCCTTACAACTTCTTGCATTTATTTAATGCTTCTTGGTACTATGCAGTTATAATTATTTCTTATTGCTTTATTTTGTCATTCTAATTAAATTCAAACCTTCTTAATTTATATATACTTTTCCTGGAGTAAGGTGGGTTTAGAGTTACAAATCTTCGTAGTTAATATGGCTGGTGAGAGTGACTTTGCTTTTTACTCTCACAACTCCATCAAAATGGTTAATGACATTTCTTATATACTCAGATCCAGTTCCTACTGAGGTGGTGTAATTACAACCTTGGACCCTAAGCTAAGGCAACATTTGGTCAGCCTGGACAACTTTCTCTGTAGAAGACAACTTTTCTCTGACTCCAATATTGCTAAATTTTTAAATAATCCATCACCTATAGACAGATTATTTTGAGCAAAATATTGCCCACAGATTATATTTGCTATAATTATTAAAAGTTGCTGATTTCTATGTAAATGAAAAGAGAAAAAAGGTACATGTTTCTAGTAAGTAGTTGAACAGGAATTTTCTACTTCTTTGCAGAGTTAAGGGCTTGTATCCTTGGACAGAGTGCATAAAATTTTTAGGAAAGAGAAATATTTATTTGAAATATTTATATTTATCTAAAATACACTGGCATTTAAATTTTGGGAATGATTGGCCATAAAATAAGAAATATGACAAAGTGGGTGTGGGAAACTGAGAACCTCTTCTGACAGTTATTAGGAGGAGAAAGGAGTTGATTTTCCACTCAGTTAAGAACTGAGATCGTTTAAAAACAGTCCTTAACTCTGAAGTATCAATTTAGAGCTTCTTCAATGTCACTGACTAATGGAAATGAATTAATGGAAAATTTTAAAAATCATAACCTAAAAAAGGCAAAGAAATTATATCACTTTCCCCGTATTTCCTGATGAACTTTTATTTTACAAATTAGTTTTGAAAAATTACCATTATCCATTAAATTAAATTCTTTAAGCCCTTAGCAGACAGTGTATCAATTTCTGTTACATTAGCTATATAGCATGAATTAATCCTTGAAAGTTTATAAATGGTATTTGTCAACTGGAATGTGATTGAACTATCTGAAAATGCTTTGGATTATTGCAGGTTAGTTTGCAGAGAGCCCTAAGAAAAAAGATATATTTTAATGTGATAAAACTGACATTTTCTTTTTAGTTTTATCTCAGCCCACACTGGACAAAATATGTTTTCACTGTGCATTATTTTAAGCTACCACAGATGTCCTTAAAATCTACAGATTCTCTATATTTAGGCTACATCCAAATTGCTAACTTTAGATATAGAATAGAAGTTTGTAAGAAATCATGAATCTAATAAATGACATTAGATGATTGTATACATCTATCAGAAGCCAATTGTCGAGATACTTATTTGGCATTTAGACAGCCGACTTTAATATGTCACAGAATTCTACTAGCGCTCTGAAGAAGTAGAGTGTGTGGGAGTTCAGAAGAGAAATCAGAGATCGTATGCTCAATTCAGTACTTTAACCTTTTCTCTGTCCCATTGGAAGTTAACTGTGAAATCAATAATGCATTTTTGGAATGGGAAGAGTACCATTTTGATTGGAATGAAAGCAACTGCTCAAATCATCTCTATTTTTATATTTCAAATAACTAAAATTCTTTGTACAAGGCCTTCTAAAGCTAACAAAGGAATTCAGACTCTTTCCCTGTCAGTAAATGGTTCATGAAAACAGAGGGAAGATATGTACCATAAACTGCTAGGCACCATTGGTGCCAATGATATGTCCAAAGGTTTGCATATAGGCTTAGAGCAGGTAGAGACTATTCTTTGGGGGAGATTATTTACAAGGATATCAGAGGAATAGATAAGGTGAAAGGAAACAGGGGGTGTTATATAAGGAAATATAGAATAGAGATGGCTGACAGATGTATTTGCTGGCAATACAACTTGCTTGGAAATAAGCTAAGGTAAGTTTGGAAAAGAATGTGTAAGAGAATGGAAAGAGAGCACCTGGTGGCCAATTTTAGTCCTGTATAGTCTGTTTTTTTTTCTCCACAGTTCACATGCTTGGTTCAACCAAATTAGGCACTCCTATTTCATTTACTTATAAAGGAAAAGAAGCCTGTTTACTGGATGTGTGAACTAAAAGATAAAACTGATTGCCTGAGCCTCCACTTCTTCTCCTGTTGTCGTCAGGGTCTGAGGATTATTTCATTCTTGATCTCAGCTTCTCTATCTCTGTCTCTTCACTGTCTTCTTTCTCTTAACCACATGCACATATCTCAACGTGGTCAACATATGCTAGTCTATGGGAAGAAACATGAAGGATAGGCACAGTGAAAGATGACCGTTTCATTTCACTAATCACCCACCTAGCATGAAAAACTGACTTCTCATAGATAAGTTTGCATATAAATAATAATATTATAAATGTATAAATACTATAAATAAATATAGGAATAATCTGCATTCTCATGCAACCTCTGTTTTGGACATAACATTCTCAATACCATCAGCCTTCACCGGTGGAAGGTGACCGAAGTGTAGTTCCTATGTCTTCAGTTGATCTCATCTATCAAATCATGCTGTCGTATTCCATTTGAGAAATGAAGGACCCCCCCCCCACCATAGAGAGAGCCTAGGGGGAATTTTTCAAAGATTTTTTGACCCACTGATATGTTTTTAAGTATCACACTCTCCCTCCTCATCAACTTGGTTTCTGAGAAACTTTTCATCCCTTTCAAGTCCATAGTCTTTTGTTGGCTCCAAAGTGTTGTGACAATGAGCGTGTGGCCTAGCTTCCCTTAGAGGATATTCTTACACTTCAACTACAACCTTTTTTTTTTAGTTTGGCATCTCCATTCAGGCCCCCACGCTGGCAACAGTTCACTGCCCTGCCACTTTCTGCTATATGATGAGGAGATCATTTTCTGACCTGTGAGTCAGACTTCCTCACACGAGAGCCCCATGGTAAGGTGTTGTTCTGTGTTCCATCAGTTTCATGTGGCTGAGTGAGCAAGAAGCAGGGTACACATTTCACCTCTGCAGAGCAGATCCATGGAAGACAATAAAATATGGAAACTCATTAGAAAAGTAGATCTCGAATAATCCAAACCACTAATTTTGCTAAGCGACTTGGCTTCTTGAGTAACTCTCTGGAGGACTGAGCAAGAGACAGTCTTATTCATCAATACATCCCCCTGTAACTTATTAGACAAGGGTTGTATTTGGGTTTTGATGAACTATAATGAGGGTCTAGTATCTGGTACCACTAATTTCCAGAGTGAATGTATTTTATTTTCAAAGTTTAATACTGTGACCTGAACTTAATGCATCAAAAACTGAGGTGACTAGGTAATGAATTCTTTGATATTTAATGCACACATAAAAGTTAATCTCTGTTTGCCTAAAACAAAAGCAGGCAGTAAGCTCAGATAAAATAGATATATTGGTTTTGCTCTCAACTTCCTGTGTATGTAAATCTCTAAGTCTACTTGTATTTCAAATGTTTATTTCTTGGAACTAAATGAAATAGAAAGCAGTCCTCAATAGCTTAATGGATGGGAATGAGAAGTGAAAAGAAAGCGGGAATTCACGGGAAGACAAAATCAGGTTTCACAAGCTGGCAGAAATCACAGCAGTATGCAGAGTGCCAGGGGCTTGACAGTCAAACCAGATTGCTGGATCTTCCACTTACAAGAATTTTGAAGATCAGACAAATTAGTATTGAAGCGAGATTACTGATTAGTCATGGAGATTCAAAAAGAATTTCAGTCCCATCTAGAACTTATGTTAGAAAACCATACTGACTTCCTAACTTCTGGTATAATAAACAGACAGCATCTCCTTACGCAGTATTTAGCCAGACTAGTAATTCTCACGTGAGTGTTAAAAAAACAAAACACCTCACTTATATAAAACAACAAGAACAATGAGACTGAGTATATAAACCATGAGGACTTTAGGTAGAGAGACAACCGAGCGTTGGATGAGAACACTGGTTCTGGGGTCTAGCTTCCCAGGCTTTGTTTCATGTGGTATCTACCCCTTTCTACTTATCTTACCTTGAACAAGCTTAACCTGTCAGCCTCAGTTCCTCATCAGTAAAAAGGACTTAACTAATGCTTCCAACTCCCTA